AATATCAAATTTTTATAATTTTTACGCGTGTAGAAATGGAGATATATGCGTTTAGAGACGTATCTTGAAAACCGTAAAAAGTTAAATAGGGTTAAAAATAAGGGACATAGGGAGTATTGGCAAGCTCCTACGAGTAGTTAGTTAGAGTTAGAGTTGGGACACAACTTTCCCACTCCCTGTTGTCCCTGACGTCCTGCCCCATATAATTATTTCCATTGTTGTGTCCCTTAAAGACAAAATCCGATCCTTTCATACTATATGAACTACTCCGTATATAGATATGATTCATTTGCATGCATTGAAACTATGAATGTTTTAATCGATCATATTATTAGTAGAGGGCCACAAGGAATGTGAAGACATACGTAACTCAAATTGCATATTCATTAGTATTTCATACTATTATATATTGATCAATTAATGATGTGAACTTATCCTAGCTCACGAACATATATGATTATTATGCAAGCGAGTTTTGAGGTGTCAATTCGGATATAGATCTAAATCGGGTTTAATGAGGTCAAGTTGGAAGTTGGATATGATCTATTTCAAAGATGAATTATGCTTAATTATTATGTTTATTATACAACTCGAAATTTGAACTGGCTTTTTTCAAAATCGAATCAGATTGATCATACTTTCTCCGTTTTCTATTAGATGCATCACTTTTGAAATTGCGAACTCCTAGGCAATTTTTGGAGTAGAGAGAGATAGAGAAAAAAAAATAAAGAGGGTCCATGTAAAATGATGAGAAAAAATAGAGAGGTTTTATTGACTTAAAAGGAAAAGTGATGCATCTAAATTGAAACTTCCGTATATAAAAAGTGACGAGTCTAATAAAAAGTGGAGGAAGTACGGAGTATTAATTTTTGACACCTCTAATTAGCACTATCAAATTTCAAACCGAAACCATTTAACTGCCCGAAACCAACCGACCCAAATGATAACCAAACCGATTTAAATCGATTTTTTAAAATCGAAAATCGATGCGTAATTTAGTAAACTCGAAACCTAACCGACTGAATAATGTTAAACTGTATAAGAACCGAACCGTTTCTAACCCGAAACCGTTTAAATCGGGTTTAAAAATGTTTGCACCGAAACGTTAACAATCCGCAACCTGTTTGCACAGAACCATTTATTATAAATTTGAACCGCTTATAAACCGAACCATTTACAAACCGTTTACTATAAAGGGAAGATTATGCACACATGTTTACTACGGAGTACATTATTGTTTTCCCTGACTTTTTTTTTATGTAATTATGGATTAAGCAAAAATAATTTTTGTCTTCTCTTTAAACGACATCATCAAAGTTGTTTAGGGTAAAAATACCCCTAAGACACGTGGCCCTATAAAGGCTTGCTACGTGTCAAGTTTGCAACGATCAGCAAAGGCCCAATCCCTTTGCGACACGTGTCATTGTACCCTAATTGAGGTACAGCTCTCCCCTACTATAAATAGTAAGGGCAGACCTCATTAATGGGAATTGAATCATTTTCCAACACCCAACAAAACACAAATCCCCTTGCAAACGCTCTCAAACCGAGAAGCATTTATTGTCTTATTTCCTCATTAAGAAAGAGACTAACTTAATCTTCGGAGGCGGAACACCCCAGCCCCAGCCGGAGTATTCCGTTATTTGTGCAGGTACAAGCAAAGGAAGGAGCATACTAGGAAATTGTAACTCTCCCGTAGGACACATAAAAAACCCCAAACAAAAGTGCTTCATAATTTGTTCAGAATTATATTGTACCAAAGCTGGCCTAGTCAAATTCTTATAATGTATTATTGTAATTCTCGAAATTTTTAAAATGAGATTGCATCCTTTGATCTTTCAAAAACAAATTAAAGTCAATACAAAAATAATAATAAAGAATATTTTTAATCAATTTATCAATTGAAAAAGAAACTCCAAAATTCTAGCTTGAAAAAGAAAATATTTGTGTATGTTTTTAATATAACAAGATTTTTTTTTTATTAAAGAAGACTTTTTGAAACCAAAAACCGACCCGAACAATATTTTAATAAACCCGAAACTGAATTGATTCAAATAAATGTTAATCCGTATAAGAACCGAACCCGTTAATGAACCGAAACAGTTCTAAGCCGAACTGATATAGAACCGAACCATTGTTAACCCAACCTATTTCTAACCCGAAACTGTTTGAACTCGATTAAAAACCGTTTACAAACCACAACCCGTTTGCACCAAACCATTTACTACCCGAACCATTTATAAGCCGAACCGAATTAAAACGAGGAAAAAAAAATCGAAACCGAACCAATAACAATTTTAACCAAACCGAAACCAACCCGTCAACTAATTAAATCGATTTCAAACCGACCCGTTTTAAATCGAATTGGAACCGAAACCGACAGTCCTACCTCTAATAATTGAGGTATGTATAACATTTCATTTTCAGTGATAAAATATGCCAACCTAGCTATACCCATAAAACAACAACCTTCTCGAAGTTTTATTCATACTTTTATTGATTAATGTCAAGGTATGGTTTGTCTTTTTCATGAAGATTTTTGTTTTGCCCACAATGTCGTGATGCGCATAGTTATGTAAAGATAGCTTCGAGTCCTATCATACATTCATACTACGGTAGTGGAATTATCATCATGTATCATGCTTGTGCTTGGACACTGCAATAATCACTCTAGCATCTGATACCCGAAATCATAACATTTTCAGAGATTTCATGATCCTATGATAAAAATTCAAGTGATTGTGGGAGATGCGTAGTGGAGAACGGTTATTAAGCGTTGTTTGGAATCATATACACTAACGATATAATTGGATAGTAAACGTTAACACCAAGCTTAACTTCAAAGAAAATAAAGACTAAGTCTAATCACTAAAACTCCAATGAACATAGCATTATCTTACTTATAAATCAGTGGATCGGAGTTAGTTTTCATATACGTTGAAATTAGGCTTGATGTTAAACATATGCACAAATGCACAATGTGCCCCTTGCATATGTCTCCATCATCATATCTGCACTCAGTAATCAATCGGTCACATAAAGGCATGTGATTGCCTTAAATAAACCACGAAATACAAATTCGTAATTGGATAAATTGATAGTCTACCTGAAAAGTAAACAGTTTCAATTATCTAGGTGGACTTTCAGAGTCTCGTGGAGTTCATAAGAATCATCACATCATCTTTCCTTTAGAGGTAAAAAAAAGTCTAAAATTCTACAAAGTGAAACTTCAGATCATTTTCGAAAACTTTGAGACCTACAAAGTAAAACCACTGTCCTTAAAATAAAATAACAAATTAACATACAAAGGAATAAAGGGATAAAGGGATATTTTGTACTTTGTTTACTTCATTTTGCAGAATACATTTCCTTATCCACATATAACAATTAAAAAATAACTCTCAATTTCACTTTGAATTCTTTTTTATAAATTACTATGTAATATATTGTCTCATGTGTTTTATTCATACGAGTATACATATATGTTTTGTTATTAAAAAACACTTCTACTTTTAAACTATTCGTTAACTCTCTTTTAATTGTAAAAAAAAAAATACAATTATGTAAGACTTGTTAAAGTTCCAATTTGATGGTTATAATATATATGCATTGAGGAATATAATTGATGAAATAGTTCAAGCAAAAATAAAGGATTGCACCTACTTATTAGAAAACTTTTAGACCACAACTCAAAGGGCATAAACATATTAGCAAGCAATGTGAACTCATGTTGGAAATTTTGATTTTCAATTTTGCAAGTTAAAGAGTGGCCTCATAGCTCACAATTTCATACTTTATCATCATTAGACATTAGTTGATCCGTGTTACTCTTGTTTATTTATTTAATTAGTAGGGTGACATAAAGATGGAAGTATATGCCTCCCTTTCACTTTGGTGTCGGATTGTTTGTGTTTGGTGAATGTTTGATCCAACGGTTTAATATTGATCATCTCAACACGTGTCCCCACTAAAAAACACTCATTCAAACCACCAAATTCCCACTAGCTCTAGTAAAGTACAAGTACAAAAACAAAAGTAATTATTTCAACCGCATTATAGTACAATCGAGTAATATAATAGTGGTACTTCACCACCTTCCCTTTCGGCTTTCAGTCAACACTCACACTAATTCACTTATCCAACTTGGTTAGTTCAACGAATGATATTATGAAGGATCATAGATGATACAGGTAGAAATTGTACGACTATTAAAAGCTAGCATCTCATTTTAAGAGCAATATGGTAAATATATTAGATGCATCTACAAAAATGAATGAAGAGTTTAATATTGTTTGCCTGAAACTAGAATCAATAATTCAACTATACATGTATTAGCCAAGTTGAACCTCCTCATATATCGACATGTACATGTAGTTGTTGTAGCATTATATTAGGTGGCCTATATTATTTGGTACGAAGTGTTATATTCAACTTATAACGAGTATAAGCAATTTTTATGTTGGTATGCCCTTGGTATGGTGCTACTCAAACCCTTCCCACAACACAAAGTAAGAAGGTGTATTTGAGTTATAGAGGTACGACCATCTTAACCCTGTTTTTTTTTTTACCAACTTCGTAATAGATACATTAAGAAAAACTATAACAAAGATCTGTTATATCATCGTGCGACGTACTTACTTTAGGTCGGAGTATTTTAAATTACATACTGTCTTATTCAATCATCTGTATCATATAATATTTGATTATAAGTTAGATATATATGTACTATTCAAACAAAACGAGATTAGACACAAGATAAGGCATTAACCAAAACATATGATCACTTTAGACACAAGATAAGGCATTAACCAAAACATATGATCACTGCATTCAATTTTAAGCGTTGTTTGTTCATTTAGAAGTAAAAGACAAACCCAATAACATAAAAAATAATTCAAAAATTACCATATTGTTGTGGTTGGAAATCATTATAGCAAACCCCCTCATGGACCCATCACTATACTAGTTACAAGTTACCCCAATTCAGTTAACACCTAGTAACACTAAGAAACTTTCCACTTAAAACAAATGAACACAAAAACAATGAAGATCCAGAGAACCACTAGTCTTACATCACTTCATTAACTTGCTACGACTACCTTATTATTTGTAGACTGTAGTAGAAGAAGTAATGGGCCTTCATAAATACTTGTTCCTACCATTTTTCTCTCTGAATGCACTTACATCTTGGGACGAGGAACTGCCCTTCCCCATAAGAAAGCTCCAACTCATTTCAGCCTTCTTTAATGCTCTGACCCCTCCTTCTACTTCAATTTAATGTCCTCATTTTTTATTTTTCTTACTGTTTGAGTTTGTACTCCATAAAGTAAAGATTGAATTTTAGCCTTCCATTGTTCAATCTAAACTGTGCTTAGTAATTTCTTCTAGGACACCTATTTCTTTTCTTGCTTTCACAATTGTTCATTTTGACCATTTGTCACTTCTTTGAGCCTTGCACCTGTTTCCCTCCCCTAAAAAGTGAGTATTCATCTCTTTCATTTTTTTTTTTAATTGTACTGTGGTTATATTCAAGTTTTTACATAATTTGTGGTGAATATTGATTTGCATATTTAATTTGATGGGTCCACAATAATTTGTTCCTAAGTGCTTGTTCATGTTTATTTGTGACTATATATATTTGCAATTTAGTTCATTTTCTTGTTATCCATTTTGGGCTGATTGTGAATAAGAGAAAAGTTTGTTACTTTCCTCTTCTCTTGCTTTAAGTCTCTAACATAGTTGCTTTGAATTAGAAGTTTGTTGTGAAAAAGAAGTTGAAGATGAATTTTGGAATTAGTCCTGGAAATGTGGCAGTTCACCATGGAAGTTGCACTGCAAAAGTGGCTGTTGAAAGGAGGATGAAAATAGCAGAATTGGTGTTAAGGGTTTTGATATTAGGGTTGGGTGTTGCTGCTGCTGCTCTTGTTGGCTTAGATAGTGAGGTTAAGGTCATCTTTGCCATCACTAAGAAGGCTTCTTTCACCGACATGAAGTCCCTTGTGTAAGATTTACTTACTTACTTACTTACCCTAATTGAACCCGAGCCTCGGGTTCAATTCTACTTGCATTTGCTTGTGGGTAATGAGAAAATGTAAGTAGAATCGAACCCGAGGCCGAAACTCTACCATTGAGCTCTCACTTGATTCTTAAGAAATAGTTACTGAATTTAATCTATTTCTTACCCTTACAATGTTTTAGTGTATGTTTATGTTATTTTTTCGTACAAGTATTGATGTTGTAAATTTAATTTGGTAATCAGGTTCTTGGTGATAGCTAATGGGATAGTTGCTGCTTATTCATTGGTGCAAACAGTGAGGTGTATTTTGGGAGTGATTACGGGAAGTGTTCTCTTTAGCAAACCTCTTGCTTGGGTCATCTTCTCTGGTGATCAGGTATATTGATTTACTCATACGTTATTATGCTTTACATTTATTTTGTATTTTCGTGTTATTTTAAGTTCATGTGTAGTTGTTTTTTATTAGTAGAATTCTATGATAAATGATTTCTTTGTGTGAGAAATAGTGACTTTTGGTTAAGAAACTGCTTGGTTGTTACAATTTGAATTATTGCAAAATTGACATATAATATGGTATTGATATTGTAATTTCACAATTAACTGAGCGTTGATACATTAACTGACAGATAATATTGAAGAAGTAATATAAGGCAAGTAGAAAGTATGTTTATGATCTTGTTAAATTGGTAATCCTCAAGGTTAAGTAAATATTTTTCTAATCCAACGAACAAAATTGATGCAAAATTTGTATGCTATCTATTAATTGGTATAATTTAGTGGGCCAGACATTAAGTTTCCTTAGGATCAATTCATAACCTATCTTGTCTAGCTTACTGGTCCCTTTGTTCCTCAAGTAATGCAAACTCCATCACCATTAAAGAAGTATCATAAATTGTACTGACACCTACCATTATGTACGATTTGAGGGTCCATTGAGAAAATAGACTATAGACCTTGTACATTTTCTTTAAAGCATGTGTGCAAGTTTGCTTAATATAGTATTAGAGAGTTCATGGGCCACAAGTTATTACGGAGTATTTTGTTAACAAGGGGCTTAAAAATAAGTGATGGTTGGACCCAATGATTTGAACCATTTACGGATTAGTAGATCGAAATGAATCTCTATATTAGTTAGTGCCTTGGAGATAAAGGCTGCATTTATAGACCACGCTTAGACACACTACTGGTGGGTGCCTCAGGTGTTCTGTTATGGATCCTATTATCACATTGGCCATTCTGTAATAAATAGTAGATCTTCTTTGTTTAGGAAGAAGAGGAGAGTTATAACTATGCCATGTGCATGATAGTGGTTAAACCTGAAAGGTTTCCAGAAAAACTGAGAATACGAATGAACAAAAAGAAGTGAACTCTATTCGAAGTTTCTTGTTCTGTGGCCTTCACTGTATTTTCTGCACGGTTGTACGGTTCTACCTCCATGTACATGTTTGTGTTTCATAAGAAACTTATTCTAAAAATGTAGGATCCAACAAAACGATAGGAGACAAGGGAATCTAGATTATAATAAGTCCCCATACAAATCTCTCATTCAGTGAAGTTTATTCGTCATGCCAAGTCGCCAAGTACCACATTAGGCAATGAGTTAATACTGTTATTAACTCTTGGTTCTGGTATCTTCTAGAAGTGCCACATTATTACATTAATGAGTTAATGCTGTTGTCAAGTCTTTGGTTTTGTATCTTGTAGAAGTGCAATCTGGTCGAACTCCCAGTGCTATATGATCATTAGGGCACATCTAGAATTTAGTATGTTTGTCTAAAAGAATAAAAATTGATTATGTTAAGATGATGTTAAAATTCAGGATCTTGCTACTAAATCCTGGAAAAGCAAAAAGCAAGCAAATTTCCTTGTAACTTTTTCCAGTAATATGCATACACAGTAATCTTGTAATCTTGAATTGGTCTTCCTGTTTCATTTGTAATGTTACCAAAACTGCCAGTAATGCAATGGGTTCGTTACTAGAAACTGAGGGAGGCCCATGAAATTATTAACTTAGATGTATGCTGGTGTACTCAATTATTACTCTACTCTGTCCTTGAAATAGACATGTCCAACATGTATGTATGACCCTTGAAATATGATCGGAAGTTAGGAGAACATTAAAAAGCTTCTCCATATCTGTGTTAGATATTCCTAAGTCTCAAGTATGATACAAGTATTTTTCACAGGCCAAGTAACACAACTTTTGCATATGCAGGTTATGGCGTATCTGACCCTTGCAGCAGTAGCAGCAGCTGTACAGTCATCTGTGATTGGAAAGTTTGGACAAGCAGAACTACAATGGATGAAGACATGTGGTTTCTATCCGAAGTTTTGTAACCAAATTGCAGAAGGATTAGCAAGTTCTGTGGTGGTTAGTCTTTGCACGGTGATTCTCTCTGGCATCTCGGCTTATAGCCTCTTTCGCTTATATGGAGGTAACAAAGGAAAGAGAAATACAAGATGGTAGGCGAGTAGAATAGGAATGTGTATATATATATATATATATATATATATATATATATATATATATATATATATATATATATATATATATATATATATATATATATATATATATATATATATATATATTATGGCTCGTTTCCGGAGTAGTTTTTATCAATGTCAATGTAATTGTGACTCGAAAGCATTTTTCGATGTGGAAAATGTAGTTCTCTCTAGTAGTTCTAAAATAATATAGGAATAGCTATGGTAAAGCTTTAGCTGATCTAGTGTAGGGGTGGCAATTCGGGTTAGTAGGTTGGGTTCGGATTGTGCTTAGAAACTATCAAAAATAGTGTAAAACTAAATATTATTACGAAATATGAAATTTAGGTCAAATCGGGTCGAATTTGGGTTGTTCGGGTTTGGGTCATGTTGGGTTTGGGTTTCTCTCAGTAACTTCGGGTCGGGTCAGGGATTGCCAACCCTAATCTTGTGTAATTAAGTGTTTGCTCTTGATGGAAGTATTGTTACAACTTAACAAGTTTCAAAGTAGGTTTTGTATTTAGCCATTATGTGCAATCATTTTTCACTTAAATCTTGAAATTTATGCTCTTCATGTTTCATACTTTCTATCATCTACTCTCTCCTTTCTTTAAAATTGCACCATCTTCAACATTTCAATTGTTGACAATTGTATTGCAATTTATCCTAAGAATTTTTACTTTATTAGTGATAAATCTCTAATCCTTTTTGCTAGATGGAAATTGATTAGGGGATTTTGCTCCCACCAATCGGAATGCGCCACGTGGGCCAATCAGGTCCTGCCAAGTGTCCCCCAGTTGGAACTGTCAGGGCTTTCCACGTGGCACACGCTTATTCGTCCACCCTGGACCTATTATGTCATGACACGTGGCATACTCCATGCTTAATGGAGAAACCGGCCACCCAGGCCCAACTTCCGAGGAAAGCCCAATCAGCCCTAGGTTAACCTAAACCTAGGATTGGCACGTTTCCCAAGGTTATAAATACCTCCCTTAATCCTCATTAAGGGAGATTACGCACATTAAACACTCTCACCTAGAGAGACCCAATCACTTTAATTTCCGCATTAATTACTCCTTAATCAAGTACTAACTTGACCGTCGAAGGCGGATCTCCAATCATCCGGAGCATCCGTTTGTTTTGCAGGTACAGGCGTCCGGTTCCAGTCTCGGAATTGTAACTCTCCTGCAGGACATCAGAAAACCCCGAAACAGAAATTACAATAGAATTTTTCGTCATTATAATGATATTTAATGAGTTCAGAGTTTTTTTTTTTTTTTTTGAAAGAAGATTTTTTTATCTTTATATTGTTGTAAGATGAAGATTTTACCAAATCAAATACAAAGAAAAGATCAGTATTTATTAATCTATTTATTTAAATGACTATATATAAAGGATATTTTTTTTTTTTTTTGAAAGAATACGCCTATACCTTATATATATGCATTGTACGGAATACTGAAATTAATCAAATTATTATTAGGTTTTCAGAGGAAAGGAAGGGAAGAAAGTCGAGAAACAATTATTCATCAATTTATAAATCTTGATATGGCTGCTAATGATCATGATATTGATATGCAAAATAATGATGACAATCCAAATCAAGACATTACATCATCAAAAGGAGAAAGGAAAAGGAAAATAAAGGATTATAATTGTTGTGTAGTTTGCAAATTGACTAGTGGCTGGATTATGAAGCTTGAAATCAAGGAGGAGGATGTTGAAGGGAAAAAAGAGGATGATTGTCGTGTTTGTGATCGTGTCGTTGTTGATCTGCATACCAGCATGAATCAAGTGCTTATGATCATGAATGCTCGTACAGGTTTCAAATTGTCACTTGATTTCCTGCCTTGCTTTCAACTGCCAGTAGATAATCCTAATAAGGTTTGGCTGGATTGCAGCAGGATCATCTGGTGGCTTATTGCTGTGCACTACTGGCAGGTTCCACCAATCTCAATACTACATCTGCAATCCGTTCACCAAGCAATGGGTAGCCCTCCCTCCTGCTCCTCGTCTTCACACTCGTGTTCATATTGGCTTCATTGTCGAACTCTGCAGGAATAGATGTCTTCTGCAACTCCAGCAGCCACTCTGCAGCAACTGCAAGTTTCAGGTTGTGAGGTTTCACCACGAGCATCAGTGCCAGCAGATGCACCCGCGTACCCAATATGAGGTGGAGACCTTCTCATCACACTCTGGTCAATGGACTAATGAAATTACAAGAAATGAGATGGTACGCAAATCCAGATGACTCTCAGTCTATACTCCTCAATAGACGTCTTCATTGGCGTGCTGGGGATAGAATTGTTGTTTATGATCCCTACGAAAAGGTAATCCTCGGTGTCATTCACCAGCCATCACGACTACAAGTTTGCCGAAGTTCTAGAGTGGAAGGCTTAAGCGTATCTGATGGCTCCTTGTGGATCAGCCAATTTGCAGACGTATTTCTAGATCTTTGCTTTTGGCAGCTCAAAGGATATGACATGCATACCTGTAATCTTGATGACTGCTACTGGAGACCAATGTATAAATTCAACATTATGGATCTGACAGGCAGCCTGAAATGGGGACCAAAAGTCCATGGCTGTACCATTCTTGGTATGCATCCTAATGACCCAAATATTGCTTACTTGAAGCTGTGTCGTAGTAGGCCTCGTAGCTCTGTTAGTAGGCTGGAAGGGTCTTATCTTGTCGATTGCAACTTAAGAACCAAGACCCTCGGTCAAGGAAGGTTCTGGAATTTACAGTGCCAAAGAGCGGGACATTTAGTATATGAGTGTATGAGTGTAGCAGCTTACAATGATAGAATGATAGGCACACTGGCTTCTCTTTAAAAAAAAAGTAAAAAACCATAGGCATTTTGTTCTTAATAATCCATGTAATATTTTCTTTCAATATTTGTTTCACTTTCTTTTTCATAATAACCTTGCAATTTATTTTACGAAGATTACTCTGTTGTCTAAACTCTAAAATTTTGGTAAAGTTTCTGTTGTTGGACATTCATGCATAATCATGCACACTTGCAAAAGCACTGTTAATTTATCAACATCATAGGCATAGACATGCTATACGATAAGATCATAGAGAGCGAATCTATATCCGTGCAAGTGTTGCCGTCTTAGACTACCAGGGCTGGAAGCATTGGTTGTTGCCTCCTTAAATAAGATCAAAGAGGGCATACTTGCCTTACTTATTTTTCAACAAACCAAAGCAATTTCAATGTAATCTAACCCCCCTTAGATATTGCCATATTGGTTATAATTTGAAGCAGAGTTTCTGTTTATCACTTTATCCACCTTTTTTATTAACAGTAAACAAATAGTCTTTCAATGTTGGAGGCCTTGAGGCAACAGTTACACCATCTTGTATCTGGAATTTGGGTGGTTCCTAGTGTACTTACCGTCCTCTCCAATATCTTGAAGATGCATATTATACTACGATCAGACAATTACATAGAGGATAGTTGTCCAAGCCCTCAACTTCAGACAAAATTATTCAACACTTAAAACTGATCAACAGCAAATAATAATAATAAAATAAAAAAAACAGAATTGATAGGAGGTTACATATATGATTCAGATAGCTTGATGGTCCATTCTCTTTCCGTATCTGTATCTATTTTCATCAGACCTGCGAAAATTTGCACGAGCTGTGTTGTTTCCAGGTCTCAAACCTCTATAATGATCAGAACTTCTTGACAGTTTATTAGCTTCCTGATTTACTTCATAAGCCTCCTCTTCAATATAATCACACCTTATCACCCCAAACTCCTATAATATCAACATTGAAAAGTATAAATGTTTCCATTTAGAAACAAAACATTTACAATACACCTTGAACTAATGTAAAGGTGGGATTCATACCTTCGATTTCATCTTCGAATAGCAGGGTGTCAAGCAAGGGTTTACATCCCTCAGCAGCATGTCAACTGGACTGTCAGGAGTTGTTGGATCATCGTCGCTGAAATCCTGAAATAATTGTTTCGCTATAGCACTTAGACAACAAGGCATATTCCCAAAGAGGAGGATCCAAATTAAAAGTTGTACTGTATCTCACAGTTTAAGGTTCATTAGTAAGCTGACAAATTCTCAAGGTTAACCTTAAAAGCTTGACCCAAGACAATCGCAAGCATTTGGAATGACAGTCACCTGACTCCAGTCTATCTGTCTATGTATAAAGGTTCGATCATAAATAAATACTTTATGTAGTTTGATTGTGAAATATTTTTACATACCAGGGAATTAGCAGCCTCTTCTTGATCATATATTGGTGTCCTTGGTGAGCTAAAATTACCATCAACGCATGAATTGCTTGTATACTTCACTGCCTTCACCTGTATTCACAACAATATCTACTAATCACAATGTGGTATGAAAATATGAAGACAGTAACAAACTAACAAAGCAGTCAAAGCTTATTTAAAATATTTACTTATAGTTATATAGTCATATATACACTCTTGTAGTTGTATACCTGTTTCTGAGTTGCATACTTCCGACATATAGAATACAAAGTTAAAAAAGCTCACCAATATTCGGGCATCAGAATGTTTGTGTTATGAACAAGTTATTATGCATAAGCCAAAAGGCAGACTATCCACTGCAATTGTATTTCATACTAAGCCCTTGGGATCTGAAGAACTTGTTATGTGATACTAAAAGATAGATTCCAATTTGCAACAATTGCAATAGTTAAATTCCCCTCAATTGAAACACTTAATATCCAATTTGCAACAGTTGCAAGTGTCATAGTAACATCTATCAAACTCTAAATATAAAAGCAACCTTAGACAGTAGTGGTATAAGGATTACTACGACTCCTGAGTGTCCTTCAAACAAGCAATGAACACTAAAAATCGAAAGCATTTCGCTATAAAAACGATTAGGAATCGTTGAAGCAATAGTTGTCGAAATGATACCTCTGCAAGGTCTTCTGAAAGGCATTGTAACTGACCCGTGAGGGAAGAAATCTGCCTCTGAAGAGTTGGAATGACTTGCTTAGCTTG